GGGGCAGGGACTGTCTCTCGCTGTGTGTCTGTGCAGCGCCTGGCACAGCGGGGCCCTGATCTCAGCTGGGGCAGGGCCTGTCTCTCACTGTGTGTCTGTGCAGCTCCTGGCACAATTAATTGAGTTAGAGAAAACATTGTAGTACATAGGCTTGGAAGAATTTTATTTTTATTGGTAAACGTTGACTTCACCAAATACACACAAACTAATGAAAAAATATTTATGGATAATAATCTAATTTTACTTGTATATTTTGACATGTGATACTGAGTATTTCTGTGAACTGTTATAAAGCTTTCACTTTTAGAATCACGTCTGCTGTCATTAAATAATTATTGTCTGACCCCACCGTTGTCCTACCACCCCATAATTTCCCACAACTGTGAACATTTAAATAGATACAAATACGAAAAGCTTAATACCCATAATTTTTCACAACTGTGAAAATTTTACTTGAGAAAAATTTAAAAAATGCTTAAAAATAAACATCAATATTATCCGTCGAAATTATAAACATCAATTGAAATCTGCCAAACCTAGTGAGACTGTTACTTAGCGAAGGTGATAGCACTCTAGAAATCTATCTAAAACAGACTGCATTTGATCGATTTAAAAAATGGTTGGGATCCCAGACACTTACCCCAGGCGCCCAGTGCAATCCCCGCTAACATCAGAATGATACACCAGGCCCCCAAAGCTCCTAGGGCGATTTTGTAACAACGGGGACTCGGAGGAGACTCTGGAAGATGAAAGATTTAGTGAAACATCATAATTAATTAATTAACTCCAGCAAAGGGCTCTGAATAGGAAAGATGCTAGGCCAGGAGTAAATGTTGTTATCGGCCCTGAATCTTAGTTCCAAAATTCCCCCTGCAGCCAATCAGCATGTTGCCAGAGGACGCCTGGGCTTGTGGTTAAAACACTGTGGATTGGGGTTTAATTCCTTTCTGGGCCAGGGCCACAGATTCCTTGTCTCACTCTGGGCAACTTCAGTCAGTCTCAGATACTGCGGTGATGAGCGTGGGATTGGAATCGAGTCGAATCTCCTGTGTCTCATTTCCCCCTATCTGGAGAGGGAAAATAATCCTCTCTTTAGGCTGTAAATTCTTTAGGGGAGAGACTGTTTCTGGTTATATATCTGTACATCACCTAGCACATAAAGATCCCGATCATGGATGGCGTCTCTAGGAGCTATTGTAAAACAAAGACAAACTAATAACAATAAGAAATACCATTGTCAGCTCCAGCGGCTGGTCGGTGAGATTGTAATTTAAATTGAGGTTTTAAACAATAGTCTGCAAAATTATTTCAGCGGGAAATTCTGGAAATCTGCAAACCTAACCTGCCTGAGAAGAGGATTTCTTCAATACCCGAATAATAACTGCACATCTAGCACCGGCAATACCAGAGTCCAGATTCAAGTAATAATTTTTCAGATTGGGCCTCTCTCTACTCCAGTGTATTGTCCGCACAGCCTGTGGCACTAAACTCCGTCATCACTAACACTGCAGCTGTATGTTATGTTAGTAATATAATTACACCAAGAGGTTCCGACTGAAATTGGGGCCCTAATTGTGCTGCGCCCTGTACACGTTGCTAGTAAGAGACCTTCCCTTCCCCAAAGAGCTTATAAAATAAAGAAACAAGACAGACAAATGGTCGGAGGGGGAAAGGAGATGCCCAAGGTCTCAGAACCAGGATTAGAACCCAGATCTCATACCCGCTAGACCACACGGCCTCTCATGCCCAGGGGAAATGCTTTCTTCTCGCCCCCTCCTTGAAATCTTTGGCATAAAAACCCAGATCTCAATGGCGGTATGTCTCAAACTGAAGACATTCTATGTCAATACCTTGGCGTCCATCTGGAGACGGACAGGCTGAGTTTCCCCTCTTCGGCCGGAGGTTCAGTACCGTGTAACCTTCATCGTCCTCCATCTTCCCCAAACTCAGCGGAGCTGTATCTTCAAACAAACAGATTGAAATGAGAACTAAGTGTGCCCACAAGAGTGAAACTGACCTGCTGCAGCCTTTACGAGAAGTCCTGGCAGCTTCTCGGGACTGTGAAACCACACAGGAAATTTAGATGCATGAGTGGAAACATACGGCCCAATTCTCAGGTCCAGCTGAGTGGCGCTCTGGTGACAGAAGTACTTGGTGCTGCTGTTTTTCATTCAGAAATGTTTTCGAACAGAAAATGTCTTTTTTTCTAGATGAAAATTTTCATTAAAATGTTCATTTCTTTGGGTACGTCTTCACTACCCGCCGTATCGGCGGGTAGCAATCGATTTATCCGGGATCGATATATCGCGTCTCGTTAAGATGCGATATATCAATCCCCGAACGCGCTCACCGTCGACTCCGGAACTCCACCAGAGCAAGCGGCGGTAGCGCAGTCGACGGGGGAGCTGCGGCCGTCGATCCCGCACCGTCTGGACCCCAGGTAATTCGATCCAAGATACTTCGACTTCAGCTACGCTATTCACGTAGC